TTATATTCATTCACACACTTGGTATCCAAGAAATTCAATTAAAAAAAGTATTTTTCATAAATCTTTTATAAATTATCAAATTACTATGAAGGGTTCAAGTCAGATAATTATGTATTCAATATTTAGTAATTGAAATCAGACTACATCAATTTAGAATGGACGATCAAAAATCGCTTAATTAGTCAAAGCGAATAAAAAAAAAAGATATATTTAAGTAAAAATTTGACTTTTTCAATTCAAATCAGTCAACAACCAAGCTTTTTAAGCAAAGTGCAATTACACTTTGTTGAAGTATCGGAATATGGGTTTGTAGTATATATTTCGTTGCTTAATCAAGAAGCAGCACCCCCCCCCCCCTTTTTTTTTTTAAGATTTAGCAAGCAAAAAATAAAAAATAAAAATATATATAATTATAATTACAAACAGAAAAGAAATAACTTACTCTGTTTTGATTATGATAAATCAACCATGAGCTACGTAAAATGTTTATTTGTCTTGGGAAAAAAAATGATGTGATGCAATCAAAATGTCGAATCATGCTCCATTTTTAAATGTTAAAGTTAAAATTATTATATTCGAAAAATCACAACAAACGATGAAAAAAAAAAGCTTCGAGTCCAGTCGAGTCGAGTTGAGTTCGATAGTTACAATTACTATAATTGAAATTAAAATTAATTTAGAGTTCGTTTGATTGTAAAAATGGAATTGAATTGAATTGAAAACGAATTCCAGATAATTGAATTGTCTAAAAATTATTTTTCTGGGAATTGTAAATTATTGTGTTTGATTAGTATAATTTTCACATGGAAAATGTTGAAATAAAAGTGTTTTTTTACGTTCGTTTAGCTTTAATTTACATGAAAATTGTCAATTAAATGGATAGATTTTACTGGTATTGGGAATGAAATTTGTTTCCATTGCAAAAAAAATCAAGAAAATCATCTATCTTTTGGTGTTCATTTGACTTTATTTTACATGAAAATGAAAATTGTTAATTAAAGTGAAATATTTTTTTACAATAATTCTTAAAATTTGTTTCCATTGCAAAAAAAAAAAAAAGCGTCAACAGTAAGTTGGAAAATCAAGAAAATACCATTTCCCAACAAGCAAGAAAATGAAATTCCATAGAAATTAAAACGTATCAAACACATAAAATTGGAAAAAGATTGAATTCGAATTCCATTTTTCAAATAGGCCCTTAAAATAAAATTGATGTTATAAGCTAGCAAAAGGAAGGAATGGGTGAAAGACACCACATTAACCTTTCTTGACATTTAAGTCATAAATCGTAAAGTGGGTCCCAGAAATTGATTTATTCGCCAATGGGAGGCGCCCACAATTGAAGACGGCGGAGAAAGCAATTCACCACCAACCAGATAAGAAAATTAAATTACTAAATTATTTTTAATTTAAGACCTTAATATATTTAATGTAATTTTTTATATGATCTTTCATTTCATTCACACTTTTTTGTCTACGAAAACACGTATATTACGTGTAGTAGAAGATAAGTTTCAATATTGTATTTTGCCTTTTCCAATTATTAAAATATTAATTATTTAATTTTAAATAATATTATTACATACAAAATCAGATACCATTCGTGTTGAGATTCGTTGTCTATGAGGCTGGTGATGATAGTGGATCGCAAATAGTTAAGTTAGTACAATACTTATATTTATTCTTAGAATGAGTACAATATCAGTTTTATCAATTTTACATATCATATTGAATCATACGATAAAAATTATTATCAAATATTGCATAATATTAAATTAATAAAATATAACAACGAAGTTTTGAGTTTTTTTTTTTTTCTCAATCACATCGTCGAGTACCATAAAAAAGTAAACAAATTTTCTAAAATTTAAGAGTATTTAATTGTAGAGAATTAGCTATAATCTCACTGCTTATTTTCTTAATTAATAAATAACAAATCAATAATTGAAGGGGGGCAATTTTCGACATCTTCCTATGTATAAATTATCTAATGAGCAGTTGTTCAGTTGGTGACTTGGTGTAACCACTTTGTGTATCAATTTTATCAAATGACAACAAGATATTACTAGACAAATTGTTGTACAAATAACTAAAAATTGTCACTTACAAGAAAGAAAATAAGTAAATGAAGAAAATTGCATTCATTACTTTATTAATGTAATGAGTTGATAGCAAAATTATTCCCCGAGACCCGCTTTGAAGATTCGACAATTTTTCGTATATTATTAGTCGGAGTACTTGTATTAATATTTTAAGGGTATGATCATTTAAAAATACTAAATAGTATTAGAGAATACGTTAATAGACATTTTTTTTTAACTATGGCATGATTCATGTTACCATACAAGTAGGCAAGTAAGATTACGACTTCAACTAAGGATTATAGTCTTCTTTTACCAATATCATCTTCAAGTTTAAACCTTAATTATTTCAATAGTTAAGTGTGTGAATACATGCTTATGCGTTAAAATCAAAAGAGTTTCACGTGCGTGAATTATCAATGAGGCGTTTAATTAGTTAAAGTTAAATAATAATAATAATAATAATAATAATAATAATAATAATAATAATAATAATAATAGTAGTAGTAGTAGTAGTAATAATAATAATAATAATTAGACTTTAAAAAATAAAATGTTCAGTTTAAACCCATCCAATGTGTTAAGTAAATGTGACCTTGTTTTTCAATCGATGTTAATATTGTATTTGGTTATGTAAAATACAGAGCATATAGGCATATTTGGACAAGCTTAAAAGGTTCACTTACAGGTATTTTCAAAAAAAATTTAATAAGTGAGCGTTGAAAATACGCTATTAATTACTTATTTGACAATCAGGTAAGGGTTATTTACAAAAAAATAAAAAATAAAAAAATAAAGGACTTAATTCTTTCTTAAAAAGAGGAAGAAAAAGTAAGTTACTTAAAATTAACTTATGTTTTCGTGCTTATCCAAACATGCTGGCTTACTTTCCCCACTTGGAACACTTGATTTGATGATAAATTTATTAATTTCAGTAGAAGATAAGATTATTTGGTGTGATATCTGTCCATAAAATGAAGGTTCTCTAGTTATAACTTATAAATTAAGCAGCTTAATTAAGAAAATACAAATTATTAGTTCAAGTCCTGCCTGCCACAGCATAATCTGCTTATTTTGTTCAATCCTAAAAATAGATTAATTTCCAGAGCCAACAACTATGTTATATATATATATATATATATATATATATATATATTATCTAGAAGTATAAATTCCTATAATTGAGATTTAATAATCAGTACATAAAATATGATAATTCATTTAAAAGTATTAATTCTCTATAATTGAATATAGCAAGATATGTAACCTACCTTCCAAGTTCTATTATTTCATTAAGAATAATGTTATTTTTAGTCGCTCATTATCGTAGTTGTCCTACGTGTTATACATGTGACGGTCATTGATTTGATGCGTGAGGCAATAAAAAAAACTATCACATTAACACATCAAATAATTAATCATTACATATATGTCACGTAAGACGACTACGATAATAAACAACTACAAATAGCATTACTTTTTGATTAAAGGGTTTTTACGTTTTCTCTACGTCTTGGGCTCAAACAATTAATGCTACTCACTCTGACAAACTCTAGATGTTTTGCCTAAAAAAAAAAAATAATAATAATAAAAAAATTGACATTTTAATTCTATACGTTTAGTCCCTTTTTGGTTCAACTAAAAAAGTGAATAAAATTTAAGTTAAAGTTTATAATTAATTTTAACCACATATTCTATGAGATCTACAATTTTTCAATAACATAATCTATCAACTTTTATCAAAATATATTAAAAGTAAGATTTTTTTTCTAAACCATATAGGGGCTTAAAACGGTTTATATATGGGTATGTTTTAATCTTGAATTGCTATATCTAGTCGACGATGAATATAATGTTTGGACATGTGATTTGCGAGGCTCAAGTTGAGTTCAAGCATCAAGAGCATATCTTGCCGAATAATCTAATTATACTTAGTCCTCGAAGTAAAACCTTGCTCAAGTGGCAAATAGACGATAGTTACTTGTCTAGTGCATGATCCACGCTTAATACGTCTCCACACAAATCATTTTCATACATCTTAAGAAAAAGTTAATGAAAATATAAAATATAACAACGCATATATTTGTTTCACAATTGGTCTTCTCGTTCATTTTGACGTCCACTCAATGTGCCAAAAAGTAATATATATATATATATAGAGAGAGAGAGAGAGAGAGAGAGTTATTGCCCTCTTTTTTTGAATGGCCTATCATATCCTTTACCTTCGGCCAGTTTCTCAAGAAGTTGTAATATAATTCTATCTAAATTTTGACTCTATCAAATCTGAATTTTAATAGCTTTTTCTTTCTTCTAGAACGGTTTATATGTTAGGAGTTCGATAATTTTTTACTCATAATCAGAGAAAGTCGTGTCGCAAAATAATTGAGAAAAATAAGTTTAGAAATAGCTAAAAAAAGTAATTTTTGGGTTGTACCTATAAAATTTTTACACCTAGAAATTATAGTGAATATCAAAATTTAATTGTTTCAATCATCAACACGACAATTAAGTTGGGAAAATATATGTGAACCCATATATTAATATTTATGACGATTTAATGAAGTGTTCCCTCGCCTAATTTGCGAGACCTAGGAGGATTTATCCCATATTTGATGGGAATTAAAATCATATTTTTAATAAATTTTGATAAAAATTGATGAAACGAGTGATTGAAAAATTGTGGATCTCAAGAAACGTATGGTTAAAATTAGTTATTAATTTAAATTTAGATTAAATTTTGAATTATTTCAATTTCCTAATAATATATAAAATTTTCCAATAATTGATAGTACAAGGTTGAACTAGTCATTAGTCTATTTGTTTCCCTAAATCCCCTCAACTGTAAGCCAGGTATCTTCTCGTATCCAATAAATCTGACCCTCTCTATCTCTCACTGTACACTATTTTATATATGTGTGTGTGTATAAACAGAGATAATTTTCAAGCAATAAGATTCAGACAAAAAGAAAATCTCTCTAAGCTTCATAGTGACACGAGGAATGGATACGTTCCATTCTCTCTCTAAAACAATAAGCTTTCTCTCTCTTCTCCTTTCCCTCAATCTGCTCTGTGTAGTTGATATTGCTGCTTTCAAATTAGAAACTGTTACATTCAACAAAGGCTTTAGCCATCTTTTTGGTGAAGGAAATATTATTCGTTCTGCGGATGATAATAGCGTTCAACTTCATCTGAATCAATACACAGGCATGCCCTACTCTCTCTCTCTCTCTCTCTCTCTCTCTCTCTCTCTCTCTCTCTCTATGCATACATATATACGTACAAGGGGGTGTGTGTGTGTGTTTTCGGATTTTGCACATGTTTTCTAGTACTTTCATGAACAGAAAGATTTTGCTGACATGCATAGACAGAATTTTTGCTGCTTTTGCGAATTTTGAGGTTTCTAATGTTACTTGTTTTTTACAGGCTCAGGATTCAAATCTTCAGACTTTTACGATCATGGTTTCTTCAGTGCCAAAATCAAATTGCCATCAGAATACACCGCAGGAATCGTCGTAGCGTTTTATGTACGTATGTATATATACAAGTACCCTTTTACTTTGTTTTCTAATTGTATAGTAATTGTATGCTAATTTCAAATATTTGTGATTTTTCACGATCATGGTATTGATCATTAAGAAATATATTAGGCCCCAATTAGGTAGAAATTAAAATTTAGATTTTAATCAAAGTCAAAGTTAACAATTAATGTTGACCTCATATTTTATGAGAATCCACAACTTTTCAAACACACGTTTAATCAACTTTTATCAAAAGTTATTAATACTCTGATTTTAATACCCACCAAATAAGAGCTAGATTCAAGTCTCGTATATCTAAAATTCTAGCCGTCATGGTGGAATATTTGCAGATGACAAATGGAGATGTATTTCGGAAGAGTCACGATGAATTGGATTTCGAATTCTTGGGAAATATAAGAGGAAAAAGATGGAGATTTCAGACGAATATGTATGGAAATGGAAGCACGAGCAGAGGAAGAGAAGAAAGATATTACCTTTGGTTTGATCCTTCTAAAGAATTTCATCGTTACAGCATACTGTGGACCACAAATATTATCATGTGAGTGTTTTTTCTTTACCATTTTCTATGCCTTTTTCAACGTCCAATCGCGGCTGGATGTCAAATTTGACTATTTCAATTGCTTGAGTAACAAAAATTCTAACAAATTGAATGCAAATGATAAAAAGTCACGTATACATGACGGAAAGACGCGTTATATATAGTGGGAATTGATATTGAAAAGGACTAATATGCAACATACAACTAGAAGGTTGAGGTGGGCCCGGGAGGCGGCTAAGTTGGGGTCGGTGGGCCAACCCTTGTATTGCTTGTGTGAAGCCGTGGCGTGGACTGACCCATCTAGTTTAGTGTAGGTCGTGATAAAATCAAGGTTGTCGATTTAGAACTTTCTTTTCTTATTATTCAGAAAAATAGATCTATTGCGACCGATTCAACCTGCATATTAACTTAAACGTAACATCTAGTTGAAATTCAATGACTAGACAAAATTTTCAAATTATGTGGCTAATCACTAACGGAATGTTGATTGATCTTTTTATGCGTAAAGTGATGGTGCAAAATAAAGTTGAAATGATAGATATATTTGACTAAATTTTTGAAAATGAGTAGGGGTTTCACATAATCCCTCTAAAACACATAGTAGGGGAGGAGGATTTTTTTAAATTTTTTTTATGAAGTGAGTCCCACGTTTGGGGCCCATCTGCTATGTGTATTCTGGAGGGATTTTGTGAAACTCTTTCTATACATACAGCAAAATTCTTTGAAAAGAAGCATGATTGAATCACGTTTTACATTGTATGACGCGATTGAATCACGTTTTACATTGTATGACATGATACCACACTACTAGACAGTTTAAAAAATAAATAGTTATTTCACCAATCAAATCTTGTCAACTCAGGTAATGTCAAAGATGTACACTTTTTGGTGCATAATAGGGCTTTTCCCAGCATGATTTGTTGGTATCATCATCTAAGCTGAAAGATTTTAGGCTTTCGCAACTTATTGATGGAAATTAAAATCAAAATTTTAGTTCAAGTTAAAATCAACAATAAATTTTAACTACACATCTCTTGAAGCCCATAACTTTTCAACCACACAATTCATCAACTTCAATCAAAATTTATTAGAAATTCGATTTTAATCTCCACCAAACAGGTACTTAATATCCTTGTTTAATAATACGTAACAAATATAATTTATTATTTGGATGATATACAAAATATTGAATATAAGATACCTTTATAATTGAGTTTATTACAACATTGACGTATTTGTTCTGTGAATAAGTTATACAAAACGTACAACTTTAGTCCACATGTCACCATATATCATTTGATTTTAGGGCTTTTAATCATTCATATTTTTTTAATATTTTGCAGATTTTATATTGATGATGTCCCAATCCGAGAGATAATAAGAAATGATGCAATGGGGGCAGATTTTCCATCAAAGCCTATGGGATTATATGCCACCATATGGGATGCCTCAGATTGGGCTACTTCTGGTGGCAAGTACAAGGTTAACTACAAATATGCACCATTTGTGGCAGAATTCACAGACTTAGCCCTCCACGGCTGCGCCGCCGATCTGCTGGAAGAGGTTGTAACTTCCGAATGTGTTGCTCGAGAAGACGGCCAACTTACAAGCGATGACTATGCTAGTATAACTCCAAAACAAAGGAATGACATGAAAAGATTTAGAGCAAAGTACATGTATTATTCATATTGTTACGACAAGTTAAGGTACCCAATGCCACCATCGGAATGTGACGTGGATCCCATGATGAGGCAGCGGTTCAAGGACTCGGGGCGGCCGAAGTTCGATGAGAAACACCATCGTCGTTCCAAGAAAAGAAGAGAGGTTATGGATGCTAGGAATTACGGGAAACAGGAGGGTGTGTGATTAATACAAATTGTTGTGTGACTGTACATTGGGGATTTTTTTCTTCTTCTTCTTTACTGTAAGGTTGGATATTAATAAACTTATATTTAGAGGGATTAAATTTGATAAGGAATTTCTTGAGATAAATTGTGTCGGAAAAAAAGAGGGTAATTATATTCACACAACATTGTTTCATATGTACATCACATTTTAATTACAAGAAAGGTTTTCAATATTTGCTCATTTTTGCTTTTGTGTCCTCAACTTTTTTCTCGTCGCATTGGCACTCTTAACCTTTAAATAATTAATGCATTTTTTGTCTCTAATTTTGATTTTCATCCAAATATTCTACTAACTTGCATTAAAAAGATGGGAAAATATTTTATTTAACTTTTTGTACTAGTTATTTATTTCAGTTATTTAAAATTACAAAAGGTAAATATATCTTTTTGGCTCTCCTAATAAATATTTTGGACGAAAATCGTCTCTATAGACATAATGTGAAAACTAATAGAGTGTTGATGATAAAGCAAATTTAAAAAAAAGTTGAGAATATACGTGTAAAACTAAGAAAATGCCAGGCATATTCATTGTAATTAAAATGTGGTGTAGTTAACAAAAATTGTACTGTGTATTGTAAAATAATGAGATAATTATTAATGATTATTTAGTGTTATCATGATACATGGATATGTCTTATTTAGTTTAGAAGATCTATTTTATTCTAATTGTAACTCTTATTTTGGATCCTATAAATATAGAGCATTGGTTCATAATAATACACAATTGAGTTTTGACTCTCTATTTTCTTCTCTTATTTTCTCTCTTTCCTTTAGTTTTGTAACACCTTATCAGCACGATTGTCTAAAAAAATTTATATGAAATTAGTTTGAAGGTAGTTGATGAGTACTCTACACTCATGATATTTATGCCACTTAATTTGTTATTTTGCTACTCTTGAGAGTGTTTTAGAGCTTTTCAATGTATGTTTTGATGTTGTGATGTAGGTTGATGAAATTGAAAAAAATAAGCAAAAGTTGGTGAAATTTGAGAAAATTGCAAAATTGTAAGAGATCCAAAGTTCGGGGACTAAAGTGTAAGTATTGAAAAGTATTGTTGAACCTCGCAATGAAGATCTGAGAGTGCTATGAGTCAATTGGATGAAAAAAGACGTCAAAGGGATCAAATTTAGTCAAAATATAATCACAAATCAATTTCCAACCGAAAAGTTATGCCTCGGAGTTTCAGTCTCATATTGAGACTCATTTTTATCATAGAAAACAATCAATTTGATGAATGATTCCTGAAACAAAGTTGTAGTCCTTTGAGTTAACTTTCCAATGCATCTTGAATAATCTCAATTGAATATCGGATACAAAAGTTACGCTAAAAATACTGAAAGATGCGCAATTTACCTTTTCGACCGAACCGAGCGACGTAGCGTCCATCTTGGGCGTCGCAGCGCCCATATGACTGAAAATTAACAGAATAGGCAGCGCCACAGTGCCCATATTTGGCGTCGAGGCACCGGATATGTGGGAGAGCACGTTTTTATGTTTTTGGACTCTTTTATTGGCCCAATTCAACCTTATTTCGTCCAAGACCCCTAACATACCATAAGTACCATTCAAAAACCCTATGTTCGAGAAGAATGGAAGGAGGCAAGATTGAAGAATTCAACCACACAATTTGAAGGAGACAAAAATTGAAGACATTAAAAGAAAGGAGGAGCAACATCAAGGAAGAAGATTGAAGATCTACCCAAAAGACTAGTTTTTTCTATCCTTTTCCTTATGTTGTTTATTATAATTCCTATAATTTTCATTTATTATACCATGAATTAAACAATTTATCTAGGGGATTGATGTAGCCGAATCAAGATTATGGTTTGATGATTTTATAATTATTTCTTTGATTTTCCCGCATATATTTAATTGTATCATGATTTTAATGCTTTCAATTGCCTGATAAACAATTGGATGATTTGATGCTAATCAATTCTGACGCTCGAAAGAGTGGAAATTTAGGCGTGATCATAAGAGTGATACAACATGGAATTTATAGGTTTCGAGAGAAAGTATAAATCTGTGAAGCTTACTCCATAATAGAATCGGATCTTTATTAAATTCTTGATTTTCGATTTTGACCAGAGATGTTAGAATTGGGATCTTGGGTTAATTTCTAATCGGTGCTCGAGAGAGGGAGTTAGAAATACATTAGGATTTTTGCTTTTAAATATGGGAAAATTAATTGAAATAATTTGAATTCGTTGAATCATAATTGAAAGTTAGATGAAATCAATCCCTATGCCTTCTCATTTGATAATTTGTATTCCCCAAATTTGTCACATCTAATCACGTTAGTTTAGTTTAAATAGTTCATTCATAAAACATCAATTCAATCATACATTTATCTAAATAAAGTAGAAATTGCATAATTATAGTACTTAGTGAAAATTAAATACAATCCCTGTAGGTTCGACACTCTTACTTCAATACTATATTACAAAACTAGACACCGTACACTTGTGGTTAAACCACGTTGCATAAAACGCGTGGCAGTAGTCTATATTCAATTTCAAATCAAACATGTTATTTTAATTGCCACATGCATGCATAATTATTTTTTTTCCTTGAGCGTAAGTATTTATATGTATATCTATACTCAATTTTGTAAAACATTTTTTCCACTGCCACAAGCCAATAGATTTATTATGCGTAATGATTACTTCCGTTGCAAATGATTATTTTTCTTCATTAATGCATAATTTTGCGCATGAATTCGTGTTTTCTCTGCTTTTGTGGTATGAATTTTAGATCGATGCAATTAATGTTAATTTTAATATTCTAAACATTTGTATATTTTTTTCACACAATTCTGTCGCCACATCTTTTCTCGAATATTTTACTGAAGAGTATTTTCCAGCCAAACAAATTGTTATAATTTGGAGTACTTTGTCAAATAATCTTTCAATGCCAGATTCAAACATCTTATCAAACGATTACTGTCCTGAAAACAAAGAAATCATATTAAAAAATCATGTAAGAGAAATTCTTACAAAAATTAGATCAAAATCAATTATTGGTGCAAAGAAAAAGTTTGGAACAAATATTGACAATTCAAGATTACAATTAGGGTGTGTTTGATGCACCAAAATTTTCCATGGAAAATGGAATTTCAACAACATTTTCCAACTTTTAAGGTGTTTGATGGGTATATTTTTCCATGGAATTTAAGTTCTTTCTTTTCTTAAAATTTGAAATTTTCTTAGTTTTCCCGGCTACTGTAGCATATATAATTTTTTTTCTTTTTTTTTTTTTGGTTAGCAAAGCTAACAAATTCTAAAAATTATTGTAAAAAAAATTTCCCTTTAATTGACAATTTCCATGTAAAACAAAGTCAAACGAATATTAAAATATAGATAAATATTTTGAATTTATTTTTTGGCAATGGAAACAAGTTTCATCCCCAATACCAATAAAATCTATCCGTTTAATTGATAATTTTCATTTTAAAGAGAGCCAAATGAATACCAAAAAATACTTTTATTTCAACATTTTTCACGTAGAAAATTATACCAATCAAACACAATAATTTACAATTCCCAGGAAAATAATTTTTAGAGAATTCAATTCCCTGAAATTCGTTTCCGATTCAATTCAATTCCATCTTTACAATCAAACGGACTCTTAATGTTTCATGATGAATATTATGCCATTTTTACTGATGAAGAAAAATGGACTCAAACTCAAATTCCTTTGATTAAGAAAATATTTTATGATGAAATATCAATGTCTCAAGATTGTTTTGATGATATTTATCAAGGAAATGAAGAACATTTTCAAGAACCCAGTCCTAAAACGATTGTTGGAGATCTAATAAAATGTTTGACAATACAATAAATTAATGTATTGAAACTATCACTTGTACCATCAGGTTTGAGGGTTTGAGCAATTTGATTTTTCTCTTGGTCAGAAATATAATTGAACCACCAATTATTAAATTGACCAGCAAAACCTTGAATAATATTTTGAGTTGACTCAATTGGAGAAATTCTTTCTTGAATATAAGCGTTATAACAAGCACCCATTCTATATATATATATATATATATATATAACAGGTTTATCAATTTGTGTTTATCAATTATTGCTCATCTATCAACATGTATTTTTTATAAACATAATTTTTTTTTTCCTCTCCGCTGCCGTCGGACATAAACTTGGTCTATGGAACTTGCATCGATTTTTCCAATTTTCTACATACGCAATAAACCTGTAATGTAAAGAATTTAGTTCCAACTTAATAAACATGCATCTTGCCACTGTAAGTATATGTTTGGAATTCGCTCACCTGGAAGTCAAGCATAATTGTCCCTGTAAATGTGTATACATGATTAACTTTTTTTCTGCATAATGAATTTTTATTATTATTTTACAGATGAAGTCAATTTTGTCTTTCATATGGAATTCATGTTAAATTCTACATTTAATTATGCCTTCACTATGGCAAGTATATGTTTGGAATTTTTTTCTAATTCTATATTTAAATAACTTTAGATGTTCAATTCTAAATTCTAAATTCATATTGTATCATTTTATTATTTCTAAAGTATCACAACTTTATAATTAATATCTTAGAAGAAAATTAATTGTAAATCTGTCTATTATGAATGATTTGTTATTGCTCCCGAAGTAGCACGACATCATAATTAATATTCTAGAAAAATATTGATATATTGCTCTTGAAGAAATAATAGTAAAAGACAACATGCTTCCGAAGTAGCACATATTTCGAAGAATATACTATTTACAATTAGTGTTTATCTCTAAAGAAAACACACGTAAATTATGTCAAGTTGATATTGACTATTTGATTAACTATTATGTGACGTTTAATCATATTATTCGAAACTAATTATATTTTCTTTTACTTTATTGTATAGTTAATCAAATGACAAATATCACAAAACGTGAGTTTGCTGCACTTGACATATCTGACAAAAATTATCTATCACGGGTACTCATACTGATATCCTTCTTGTCTCAAAAGACTTGGGAGAGATAATAAAAGAAGGAAATAATGAATCTTTGCAGGATCGTGTAAAAACACTCATCTTTCTTCGTCACCATCTTCACAATGGATTAA